CCTGCGTTAAGGTTTGAGCTGCCAATATGACAGTTTACGTTCGTGACATCAGATCACCAATCGCGTTTTCTTTCATTCTTTAATATCGTAACGCCGGGATAAGATATATTGATTAGAAGTCAGACGTAACTGAAAGCTAACTTATGTGCACTTTGCCCATCTCATTAGTTCCGTTTTATCGCCTTTTGATGTTAAATATTTTCTTAGACGTGCTTTTTACTACTACTAAATGTACACACATGTTCCATCATTTCCCCCACTAAATAAATGTCTTGTAATTCGATCTTTTATCTCCATTAATTTCCCGATATCTAAGAAAAACCACAGGAACTCATTTGTACTAGGCCTTGTGATCAAATTAACGCTGGCTACGCAGTGTCTATGTAATTTTATCTACCAAACCAGAAAAATATGACATAGAACTGTCTAAAAGCGAGTGCAAGCTCATCATCCAGATTCATAATTTTAACTTCCTGATTCATGGATTTACTGAAGCGGTTTTTCTTCTTCTTTAAACTTGTTTTAAACTTTTGTTTTTCTTTTTTTCGTTTTTTCCATGTTTTTTGTTTTTGTTTTTTGTTTGTTTTGTTTGTTTGTTTGTTTTTTGTTTTTTGTTTTTTTTGTTTTTTTTTGTTTTTGTTTTTTTTTTATTGTTTAATGTTTTTACTTGTATTTTTTAATTTGCTTAATTCTCGCAAAATATGAACAAGACACACGCCGACATATCTAAAAATGCGTTATATTACCATCGTCGTTTTTGCCTTCTAGCTATCATTGCATCATCACCAGGTGACGATCGGATAGCGCAGTGGTAACACACTCGTCATAGATCTAGTCATTCGGGTTTCGATTCCTTGAACGAATATGGGTTCCTCCCACAGCATGACTCGTCGTGCGATTACAACAAAAGTTACTAGTGTAATATATAATTATAAGATAAGTAAAGTATCTGAACATAAATAATTCATACAACCTTAAGACCTGAAGAGAGAGAGAGAGAGAGAGAGAGAGAGAGAGAGAGAGAGAGAGAGAGGAGAGAGAGAGGCAGGCAGACAGACAGGCAGATAGACAGACAGACAGACAGCATGACAGACAGACAGACAGACACAGACAGGTAGAAACAAACAGACAGACAGAGAGAGAGAGAGAAAGAGAGAGAGTAGGGGGGGGGGGAGTATACAAAAAGTGAACTTCAAGATTTTAAAGGGAGTTTGAGAGGCGTACAGTTTATCGAAGGGAAGGGGGGCATGGCATGAAGCTGTGACATTAAAGAGACTGGAAGCTGATGTAATGAAAGTTACAACTGTATTCATCATTATGAATCTTTGCATACTCAGGGGTCTGGAAAAGATATTTTCAACCATTAGGCACAGGACTGGTGGAATGAAAAATTTAAACGTCCCGATTGGAAATTTACTGGTCCAAATTCAGCTATAAAATGGCAACTTAATCAGCGAGGATGTGGTATGTGACTTTTTTCCATTTTCATTTGAAGTTTTAGTGAAAAAAACTATGAAGTGATGGCTGCTTTGCGTCAGACATTGTGCGCGACTTAGTCTGAGGCCTAGTCGTAGTAGTTGTTTACATCCGAATGTCTAGGTGCTGTTAAGAGCGAGAGCACCTGTCATCAATATGACCGCGGGAAAATGACTAAGGTATTCTGAATACTATATTTGACGTCATTGGAGTTCCGGTGTAATCAAAAGTTAGAGTGCAGACTGGAATATTTTGTTTTCGAAGTACCATAAACACGTTTCTTTGTTTTAAATTTTCTTTACATTTTATTGAAATTTAAGTTGTAACATTAATATCATTCGAAAAAAGTACTCGTCCGACGGACGACTGACAAAGATAAATCTGGCTGTCTGAGACAACTTTCACTCGTCCATGATGACGGGACGAGTGCTTTTCTGGCCCCTGATACTGTAGACTATATAACATCATTCTGTGATATTCATTGATTTATCCAATTCCTGCGTACACCGATTTTTTCTGTAGGCATTTCCTCTTTACTACAGGTTCAGAATTTATAATGTACAAGAATGAAACATCAAGATTTATTAATATGTAGGAACGTGTGTAAATTGTGTACAGACTGGTTAATATACAGAATAACCTTATTGTCAACTTTATCGCGACGACTGAAAGGTCGAAAGGCCGTTATAATGGACGTTAACCCAGCTCACTAAATGAATAAAGTAAGTCAACTTTATATATTAAAACTGATTTTATTACTGATCTTTCATAGAGGGATGCATGTTTATCTAACAAGAATGTACAAATAACGCCTTCGACAATATATCTAGACTTTGAATGAGATTTTGGAACTTATGACACAACAGAAACATAGAATAGTTACCCTTTCATAGTTACAGAGGTTGCTGAGAGGACTATCTTTAAGCATTGCTTTTTTAAAAAAAAAGAAATGAGTTTTTATTTAAAATGAAAAGACTATATCCATAATATCAGGTAAATATCCAAAACATCAGGTAGATATCCATAACATCAGGTAAATATCCATAACATCAGGTAAATATCAATAACATCAGGTAGATATCCATAACATCAGGTAAATATCCATAACATTAGGTAAATATCCATAACATCAGGTAAATATCCATAACATTAGGTAAATATCCATAACATTACGTAAATATCCATAACATCAGGTAAATATCCATAACATCAGGTAAATATCCATAACATTAGGTAAATATCCATAACATCAGGTAAATATCCATAACATTAGGTAAATATCCATAACATCAGGTAAATATCCATAACATCAGGTAAATATCCATAACATCAGGTAAATATCCAATACATTAGGTAAATATCCATACCATCAGGTAATCTTCAGGTAAATATCCATAACATTAGGTAAATATCCATAATATCAGGTAAATATCCATAACATCAGGTAAATATCCATAACATCAGGTAAATATCCATAACATCAGGTAAATATCCATAACATTAGGTAAATATCCATAACATCAGGTAAATATCCATAACATTAGGTAAATATCCATAACATTAGGTAAATATCCATAACATCAGGTAAATATCCATAACATCAGATAAATATCCATAACATCAGGTAAATATCCATAACATCAGATAAATATCCATAACATTAGGTAAATATCCATAACATCAGGTAAATATCCATAACATTAGGTAAAAACCAGGTAAATATCCATAACATCAGGTAAATATCCATAACATCAGTTAAATTTCCATAACATCAGGCAGATATCCATAACAGCATGTAAAAACCAGGTTAATATCTATAACATCAGGAAAATATCCATAACAATAGGTAAATATCCATAAAATAGGTAAATATCCATAACATCAGGTAATTATCCATAACATTAGGTAAATATCCATAAAATAGGTAAATATCCATAACATCAAGTAATTATCCATAACATCACGTAAATATCCATAACATCAGGTAAATATCCTTAACATCAGGTAAATATCCATAACATCACGTAAATATCCATAACATCAGGTAAATATCCTTAACATCAGGTAAATATCCATAACATCAGGTAAATATCCATAACATCAGTTAAATTTCCATAACATCAGGTAGATATCCATAACATCATGTAAAAACCAGGTTAATATCTATAACATCAGGTAAATATCTAAAACATCAGGTAAACATCTAAAACATCAGGGAAATATCCAAAACATCAGATAAATATCTTAAACATCAGGTAAATATCTAAAACATCAGGTAAATATCCAGAACATCATTGATGGAGACGAGATACGTAATTGAAGCTTCATGAAAAAAATTCTTACGAAAACATTATCAAAAGTATTTTGTGATAGCGAATTAAATAAGATATAGCGGAATAGGGCTTGAATCATGCAGCTCGAGACAAAATATCATTTTTTTCATAGTGTTAGTAATAACTAAGTAGCAAAAACATGGACTGACATACGTGTTCGACGTTTTACACCTTGAACCAGTGTCTAGCTCCTCCGCTGAGTTCCCAACCAATCACAACGCGTAATACGACTGCCTACACAAAATTGCCGACATAACAACCCGAAGTAGACACGCCAAACTAGACATGATTATCCTCTGTAAATTAAAAAGAAATGGTGATACAGCGTTTTTTTATGGGAGAATTTTTAATCTCTAATCACATATGTAACATTCTGAAATAATTCTGAAGACAATGGAGAACTTTGTTATAAAGTCATCTCATAATCTGAAATCACATTGCCAGGAGGAGAAAAATATATCCATGCGTTTGACTTTTTCTGAAATCGGCACATTGAATAAGAAATAAAATAATTTTGTGGCTATTGTTCCTTTCCATTTCCTTCGAAGAATTTTTGGGAAATGTCTTATTTCCTCATGCGCTATGAAGTTTAATGTTTGTTGATATGCCTGGTGGGCCCGTTGTTATAACTTTATTTTCATTTGGGACGGTGACATCACTTACCTGGATTAACTAAGATTTACATAGCAAGAGTAGTCGATGAAACCGAGGATGGTTACTCTTCCGGAACACTTGAGTTTATTTTCTTTTTTTAAACGTTTTTATGAATTTTCATGTAAATATATTTTCTTCATATTTTTGCCCTCGCTTCAATGAATTATTATGATTCGTAAGACCTTATCGCCACAGACAAATCTTCAAAGACAGCTATATAGTGCAATTTAATTCATCTTTTTGCTCCAATCTTTATAATTATCAATTGAGTTTTGGTAATATAGCTTTTTTATCTGTAGACCAAATGTTGTGAAATATGACATATATTTACCTCAGTGTACTGTCTAGATAATCGTCGGTTTAAATTCGGTCAACCGCGACCACGGGCGACGCTTCACGATTTGAACAGATTTTCCAACAAAGCGTGCGTCCGTAGCACTACCACGTGCTATCAACTTGAAAACCATACCAAATCAAAGTTTTGAACAGCACACATCCAGTGCACAACATTTCTTTCCAAGGCGATTAAAAAGCCGCATGCCGCGAATGTCCGAAGATGATAGGGATAGGGCTATTGCCCGAATTCTACAGGGCCAATCGCAACGTCTCTTCGCCAAGCAATTTGGAGTCCATGTGTCAACGATAGCTCGATTAGTTGGGCGTCTCAGGGCCACGGGAAAATTAGCTGACCGTCCCAGGAGCGGACGTCCACGCGTTACGACGCCACGTCAAGATCAGGGCATACGTCTCTCACACCTACGTAACCGATTTCAGACAGCGACGGAGACGGTAAGTCATATTGTAGGCACTCATGGTCGCCGTGTGTGTCCAAGAACAGTTAGGAATCGGTTGCGGGAGTTCAATTTAAGGCCACGACGTTCCTACGTTGGCCCGCAACTTACACCCAGGCGACGTCAACGTCGAATGCAATGGCTGCGTGCACATGCACCACATCGGTTTCGCTTGGTCCGCTGGAGACGTGTGTTATTCACGGACGAGTCTCGGTTCACGTTGTACAGGTCAGATGGACGAAAAACGTTGCTATCGACGTCGCGGTGAGCGATATTTTTACGCATGCGTTAAAGAAAACGACAGATTCGGGGGAGGGTCTGTTATGGTTTGGGCGGAGATTTCTCATGGCGTGAAAACACCTCTCGTGATCATCCAAGGCAACCTTACAGCCGTCCGATATCAGGATCATGTCCTCATTCCTCATGTCCTTCCATTAATCCAAGCGCGAAACCTTACGTTGGAGCAGGATAATGCGAGGCCGCACGTTGCTAGGGTGTGTCGTAACTTCCTCAACCAAAACAATGTCCCAGTACTCGACTGGTCACCCTATAGTCCAGATCGGTCCCCGATCGAGCATTTGTGGGACGAGCTGGACAGGAAGCTCAGGAAGCGCGTCAACGTCCCAAACAACGTCGCTCAGCTCACGCAGGCCCTTCTTCAGGAGTGGAATAACATCCCACAAAGGACCATAAACAATTTGATGGGGTCAATGGTAAGGAGAGTTAGAGGAGCAACTGCAGCTCGAGGTGGGCACACCCGCTATTGATTTTGATCAGGAAATGGGGTAGTAGAGTATCCACGTTTAAACGCTATCCATGCCGACGCCGTCTGTGCTAAGACAACAGAACTTATCAAATTTTAATCAGTAATGAGGAATTAATATAAACAGCTTAACAATGATATGATCATCCATAAAACATTTGAAATATTTACCACCGGACAAAAACTTGCGTTTCTTTTTTCCGTTAGTATATATCATTTTGACCGCCCCACCATTTGGTAGAAAAAACATGACATGACATGCAGGTTACGGCAAACTTCTTGGGCTAAATATCAATCAGCAGGATTTACCAATGGCGTTCTCGAATATTGTACAAGAACACACAAGTAGTAGCACATTTCACTTCAAATTTAGGAGATACAGTAGAGCTAAACAATTCACTACACTACATCAAAGAGCTGTTTCGTCCTTCTAAGACTCGTAAGCCCTGGGGCAGTTTACGGTCGTCATAATGATATCCAGGAGAATATTTCTATGTGCGGTATGAAGTGGTTTATGTTGGCTGGGTGGAGGTGGTCGGTGAAGCAGAAGACGATTACCGTTTTCAAATACATGGTCGTTTTTCCTGCACTTTTTCAGGGATTTCCTTGTTTATCTTTCTCTTGCTCGTAGTTTGCCACCGTTTTAACAAACAAACAAAATTGATTCCCACAAATTATAATAACAATAAGCCCCTATGATATCCTTTTTATTTGAGGACAAAACGGTTTTTCAACCTAAAACCACGATATCGATTTAATCAATATCTTAGGTGATATGGCCGAGTTGTGGTTGACGACGAGGAAACACGGTCAGGGAATGAATTCCCTATATACCGAACACTTTAAGACTGAAAAAGTAATAGAATTGGTTCATGGCATATAGATCAAGTCGATCTAGCTTACATAATACGTCCTTACATTTAAGCAGTATTTAAGTGTCCTACATTATGCCTTGGTGTCCGACATATTAAAGAGGTGCAAGAAACAACGTACATTGTACTAAGCCATACTTACGTAAAACTGATACAAACTGTAATGCATGGTTAACAGATTGTTGGTCTCCTAGGGAGAGCATGATTTATGACTTTTCCGTACTAGAATTTCAACTAGGTCACGCCTTCGCTGTACCTACTGGCGCTAGTTTTCTACAGCAGGTGGTATAAAATACGCTGTCGCAACATAGGTGTCATTGGGAATCATTATTGGCACCACGAAAGGCAAGGTATGTCTCACGTCTTTAGTTCTTTTTAGTTCGGTACATTTTCTATTGTGAAGTTAATTATTCAGTAAAAATTATAAATATTTGGTTGAATAATTATACAATAACTTATATTACTAATCTTTACGACGATTTGTTAACGGTTCGATATGTTTTTTTAACAACTTAATCAAGATGTAACTCGATGAAATGTTTTAACTGATGAAGACATATTCAGTAGATCTTTAGTTCAAATATAACAATAGCCATTGTCTTCAAGACTTTAGTTCCTGATATAATCATGTGTGTGATAGAAAAATGATTAGGTGTATGATATCAAATAAACATACGAACATCATTTCGATTATAGTATGATGCCGTTAACACACATACATGTAACATTAAATACAGATTTTAGTAACACAATTGTCTATTAAGATATACTTCTAATGAATACCATTTTTTATTTGTTGGAAATATCCTGTGTTGGGTTGCTTTGTGATATTGGCTTAAGACCTGTGTAATATTTATATGATGTTGTTATTGTTACTGTTTCATGTTTCTTTTTTTGAAAGATGCTATCAACGAACTAAACGAACATATCTTGTTCTTAATTTCTTTTTTCTTGCTATCTATAAATTAAAATGATTTCTCTTAAGGAAAACAATTATTTTTCAATGCTGATAGAAAAATTACCTCTGAACAAATCTTCGCCTCGCAACGTAAATATTAAATATTATTCAACCTAATAAAACATAAAAATATTTTACCTAGGTTGTAAGTTAGGCTTAAGAGTCTTACATAACCACATCATGAATCATTTGGTTGCTACTATATTATAGTATGTTTATTTTCTTTAATTAACACATTAAACCATTTCAAAATTAATAAAAAAAACTATTGATCACATCATCAAGCCAGGTGATTGTGATGTTATTTACTTTTCTTTCTGTGCTGATAGAAAGCTTACATATTTGATAAAAAGTATGATAAAAAGATACTAAAGAAATTCAACACGGTAACATTTGTTTTCTTTTCTAGACGAATCTGAAGTATCCTCTATTTCCAATTCTGGTCAATAAAACTCTTGTTATCTAAAAGTAAGACGTCACCAATACATCTGGAAGTGAAATCAAACGTCAAACTCGACAAAATTGCTGTCAAAATAATCAATTACTTCGAACATCTATTTGTATCGCCTTTGGCCTATTTTGGCCATTGATTTATCAGTTTTGAGATACATATTATGATCGCTAATGCTACCATAGGATAGAGGCTGGGCTAACATTATTTCCAGCAGTAAGTTATTACTGATTAGTAAAGTTCAGTCACTTTGGTCACGTTGGATGGTTAATGGAAATAAATTACCGAAGATCACAAAGTCTCTATACAAAATATATGAATGATTATCTGACTCTAGTATTCACGTGATTCTAGCTGCGAAAGTCGTGCTAAATCTTGTATAAAGAATATATTGTTTGCCACTCTGATGTAACAATTCTATACAAATGCATCAGCGGGGGAAATGTTTCAGATGCAGCCATTTCAGATTAATCTTACTCGTACATATTTCTTTTGCATCATTCAGAAATATGTCAAACCTTTCCAATATACTGCGTATGGAACAAATGTGCATCTGCTTTCTCTTACTGATGTCTGTCGTAAGCAGTGAATGCAACCATCGGCGGATAATACACACCCTTAGCTATGAAGGTTGCCAGCCTAAACGTCTTCTGTCGTTAGCTTGTGATGGAACTTGTACCTCGTACACACGACCATCTGTCCACGTGCCTGGGGAACTGGAACACTACTGCGAATGTTGTAAACAAACGGAAACAAGAATGTTAAGAACTGTTCTTAGATGTCCCAATAGTAATGGAAGAGATATCCGAAGGATTCTGATTCGTGTCAACATCCCTACCGCCTGCGCCTGCCGACCATGTTCGATATTGCCTGCAAACATCATCCCAGCAGAACAAGAACTGCAAAATGGGAAAAGGTCATCTTCATATAATATTCCTTTGTATGGAAATGGAACAAACAGGAATGAAGAAAACACATACGACGAGATTGTAGAACAAAGTCAGTCTAGCAATATTGTTAAAGGGAATCTTTGAATGTTTGGTCCATTAACATTAATACTTATCTGTGAAGTACGATGTAGGAGTGAACAATGTAATTACGAATGCTTGTTATCCTGATGAAGTAAAATATATTGAATTCTGTACCAGTATCCCACATTGTACATCAAATAATGATGCAGTGCAAAGCTAACATCATCTGTGTAAATAGGACTTGTTACGGGGACTAGTAGCACAAACAATGTAAATATATACTCCCTTGTATGCGTTTCTGTTCTATTTATAACATGTACAATAGTTTTTATTGTTCTCACAATGATATCTCATCATTACAAAATGATCAAATATTCTTATCTCATGTAAATATAGTAAAATCGTCTCTTTTCGTTAAGCCTTTGTGATATTGTGTTAGAATGTATTGTTTTATAAATCCCGAATGATCTCGGGTTCTCTGGTCCATGAGTGTGTTTGCATCGCATTACTTGCTTCGGCATCATCAAAAAAGGTTATCGAACAATTACTGAAAATGTATCACAGAATGAACTTAAGGACAAAAGGAAATACTTACCGAGCTTTTGCTTTTCGTGAAAATGTACTTTTAATCGTATGACTGTATTTAAAGTAAATTTATGCAATATTGCGTTTATTGTATAACAGTGTTTATATATAAATGTATCTTCCTCCATATTGGAGGGCAATATTTGAAGGTGTTACATAATTTTTGAATAAAAACAGTTTTTGGAATCGACTAATGAATGGAGTCTATATTTTTAAAGTGATTGCAAGTGTGTACGATGATACAGATGCATCTCATAGGCTAGTTATATATTCATAGGAAGGAACACCAGTCTGATAGTGAACGTTGCTTCAAAAGTTATGTTAAACAGCACTTCAATCATACTCATAACTAGTGCTGGTAATACGAATTAGTGGGTACTACAAATTTCATCATTTTCACTTCGTTTTCGCCTCGTCTTTTAGTTAAAACCAAAACTTTATCCACGCTTCTTATTACCAGAACAATAAACTCAGGGTAAGTGTCTTATTGTTATATTGTATATTTCAAATACGGATATCATGTGTCGTAATTTTGGTAACTTACAACGTATGGAACAAAATCAGAATGACGAACACCATTTGTTTCTATGTGTATACCAATCCTCTGCTGAGGATCAGCCAGATTCTTTCCAATACAAACAAAATGTCGAACAGGGGATGCAGAAAAG